TGAACAGCTTGCAATTTTGTAGAAACTGTTTCCAAATACCTTTACTATTAGTTTACATAACACTTATGCTGAAGGATGCCAGATGCCTCCTATTCAAAGGGATAATAAGGGTTCCCTAGTTTAAGGGTTTTTCCTTTATTTTTGTTTTTTAAAGAACATCACAGTCCTGCAGAACATAAATGGTGCATCTTGTTTCAGAGCACTACAGCTCCATAAAATAAATATTACACATCCAAAGTGTCCCCCCCACACTCCTTTTCCACTTAGATTTGCATCCATCTGGCAACCACAATTGCATACATTCCAAATGCCCCTATTTACCAGGACAATCACTTTTTCCTGGATATTTGCCTCTGCTAAATCACTGTCCCCGTTTTATATTTTTATGCCTTTTGGGGACTATTTGGTGAAAACCTTTTGTTAGCATCAGCACACGTGCACTAGTTTCTCTCCCCCAGGAAATGTCTATTCAGATAATAAACACTGAATGCAGTTGAGTTGCCACTGTTCAGTTCAGTGACGATTCTGTTAGACATTCTTCAGTTGTGCATGTGTATGTGTGTTTTAAACAAAGTGTTGTGATAAGGGCTCAAACAGATGAGACGACTGGAGTTCCATGAATGGAGTTTCTTGTGTTTTTCCCCTCCCTGCTATCAGGCATGTAGGGGCCTGATTCAAATCAGGATCACAGTACAGGGCGGGGTTAAGCCACCACTACCCAGTGTTGTTTTCCCCAGCTTGAAATGTCCATGGGGAGCTTTGGTTTGCCCATTTGGGGAAACCTGTATTAGTACTCATAATGGCTCCCCAACCATTTCAGGTCAGGTGTGGTGAGGAGGCTTAACCCCTCTCTTGTACTATTGCAGTCTGAATCAAGCACCCTTGGTCCTAATTTTTAGAGGAAAAATATGTTGGCAGTTCAGTTCATGGAAATCCCCATTTTTCATGTTTACTCCTTGAGGCATCCTGCTCTAGGAGCCAGTGCAGAACAGATCATTGCAGGGTAAATAAACAGAGTGTAGCAAGTAGGAAGAGCCTTGAGAACCCATGTGGTATAGTGGTTAGAGTGTTAGGCGATGCCCGGGTTTGAATTCCTACTCTGCCATGGAATCCTACTGAGCAACCTTGGGCCAGTCACACATTCTCAGCCTAACATAACCTCATGGACATATCTTCTCTCCTATATCATAAAGCTGATTTCAAGTGGCAACATTCCATGCGCTCCCTCAGCCATTGGCCCGTCAGCCACCGCTCAAAAGTACTCGCGTGCCATTGGCTGGATGCTGGGTCTGCTCCTCTTCCCTGCCCACTCCCCCTTCAGCCACTGTGTTCTGTTAGAATTATTGGGAAACGGCTTTCTGTCTTGATGAAGACACTTTTCCTGCTTGCCTTCTGTGTGAGACTGTTTCCCCTCAGTTACTGTTGGTAGGTATCACCTGTAAGACGGTTGTGGTTCTTTGTTTAAAACATAAGGTTTAATTGAGCTGTAGTTCCAGAGAGGGGCTTGCAGGAGTATCACTCACTGGGTTGAATGGGGCTTCCTCATCTGCTGCACTACAGTTCCCAGGTGCTCCAAGGCAGAAAAGGGCGGGAAAACAGGGACTGTCCCAAGGCAGTCTTTGTCCCTGGGAGGCAGCAGAAATTCAGCCACTCCACAGTCGGCTGGACTGGGGAATGAATGGAACTTTCCCTGCTCTCTTGGGCAAGAGAGAGAGGCTGAAGTACAGCCAGAGGCTGGTCCAAGGAATGAACCTATCCTGAGGGAGAGAGGATTGCGTTTAACCCCTGTTGATTTATGTCTTGTTGGTTCATAGTGTGTGCTTACTCCTGCAATGTGTGTGTGCTCCATAACTGTGTAAATAGTTAAATAAATTCTTTAATTTGGGCTAATAATCTGTGTTGTGCTCTGACCACATGTTCTCCCCTGCTCTGCACAATACCAGAGGGAGGGGGTAGCCCAGGGAAGCAAGGAAAGGCCAGACCCTTGGGTTGTCAACTTTCCAGGGATCCCCCAAAGATTAAGGATTCCATCTCCAAATAGGGATATTCGGCCAGAGGGGTCTCACTGTACCTCTAAAAAGGCAGTGACGATTCCGTGAGTGGGGGCAGCGAACTTAAGGAGTGAGATACGCCCACAGGACAAGGGAGGGAGGCAAACAGGTGAGTTGTAAACTGGAGCCCATTTCGCCATGATACACAATCAAGCTTGGTTCAGACAAGGGAATGAAACCCTTTGCAGGCCTTTGTGAGGAACTCATTGGGGCCAGTCGGGTTGCCAGCTCCAGGTAGGGTGATTCCTGGAAATTTTCTGGTAGAGTCTATGGAAGCCAGGGTTTGAGGAGGGAGAGGCCTCAGTTGAACAGAATGCCATACAGCCCACCTTCTAGAACAGTTATTTTCTCTGGGGGGGGATCTGTTGTATGGAGTTCAGTTGTGATACCTGGTGATCTTTAGGCTCCACCTGGAGGTTGGCTGCCCTAGGCGTAGCAGTCAGTGCTTCACAGCAGGGTCTGCTAGATCCAGGTTCTTGCTTTAGGGGCTGAGTGGGTGATTTTGGACCAGTCACAGACTTTCAGCCTAACCTACTTCACAGGGTTGTTGTGCAAGTCAAAAGGGGGGGAGGAGAATGATGTAAGCTGCTTTGGTCCCCATTGCAGAGAAATACTACTTTCCCTCCTGGGAAACCATTGTTGCCAATCTCCAGGTGAGGGCTGGAGATCACTCAGAATTACAACTACTCTCCAGATGGCAGAGATTAGTTCCCCTGGAGAACATGGTGGACTCTGTGGCAGTCAGGGCTCCAGAGCACGGAAAATGGTGGACTCTGTGGCAGTCAGGGCTTCAGAGCATGGTAGAGGCTGCAGTTTTGTGTTTGGGGGGGAATGGAAATCTGAAGAAAGAGGGGGAAATAAAGGTAGGATGTTGATTGGCTGGGAAGGAGATAGGGTTGCCAACTCCAGGTGGGAAATTCCTGGATATTTTAGGGATAGAACCTGGAGAGGGTGAGGTTTGAGGAGGGTGGGACCTCAGACAGGTACAATGCCATAAACTCCACCCTCCCAACCAGCCATTCCCTTCTGGGGAACCACTGTTGCCAATCACTCAGAATTACAACTGATCTCCAGGAGTGAGGGGGGAGTAGATGCAAAGCTGAAATCAGAGGGGCAGATAATGGCAGGGTGATACTTGGCTGGGAAGGAGTTAGGGTTTCCAACTCCAGGTTGGGAAATTCATGGAGATTTGAGGGGTGGAGCCTGGAGAGGGTGAGGTTTGAGGAAGGGTGGGACCTCAGACAAGTACAATGCCATAGACTCCATACCCTAAACCAGCCATTTCTTCCTGGGTAACAATTGTTGTCAATCTCCAGGTGAGGGCTGGAGATCACTGAAAATTACAACTGCTCTTCAGGTAGCAGAGATCAGTTCCTCTGGAGAAAATGGTAAACTCTGTCATTATACCCTGCTGAGGTCACCACAGCACATTGACACTGAGTGCCCAAGGCCTTGGCACTCTCCCAGAGCCTCTTTCTAGATCTCGTCATATTTATTTCCACAACGAGCCTTATTCCTACTAAATACGATAAAACAGAAGAGAATACTGTAAGCCACTTTGGGTCCCCATTGGGAAGAAAGGTGGGGTATCAGTGAAGTAAATAACTAAATTTATCAATAGTGTAGGGTTTGGGGGTGGACTTAAATTCTGCCTTTTGTGAACAAAACATGCTCAAGGCAGTTCACGCATACAAACACCCCCCCCCCCCCATGCTGTCATGTTGAAGAGTAGGAAGTAGGGTGGAATCTTGCTTCTTGCCTTTTGAGAGAAAGCTGCTAAACAGAAAAATGATTTGTTTGTTTGTTTCACGTGTATTGAAATTAGCACCCTGTCCAGAAAGTCAGCTGTGTTAATTTTTTATATATTTAGCTAATTATTCTTGCTTCTCTTCCCAGTGGGAACAAAAAGTAGTTCCACCCCAGATCCATTTTATCCTCACAACAACCACAACCTGTGAGTTAGGTTAGGCTGAGAGAATGACTAGCTCAAGGGTCACCAGTCAAGCTTCCCTGGAAGAGTGGGAATTCAAACCCTGGTCTCCCAGATCCTAGTCTGACACCCTAACCACGCTGGCTCTCTTAAATGTGTAAATGCCCTTTCTTTTGTTGAGAGTTGCCTTTGAAGTGAGATGCATATCTGCTTTTGTTGATGTATTTTTTAAAGAGATAATACTTTATTATATCTTATTATATCTTTCAGGCATCTCACAAAATTAAAATACCATACAACAGATAAAAGCTATAAAGGGAGAGGTTAAAAACTATAAAAAAGAAATCTCATGAGATCCTAAGAATAATCAACAGCCAGCATTGTAGCAGCTTAATTTCAACTTTCAAAGTGGCAAAACTGCAAGAACCAAGACCCTCCATAACAACTTAATTAAAGAAGGCCCTCTGAAAAAGAGGAGCCTTGTGTAACTTTCAGAATGGCGGGGGGGGGGATGAATGTGCCCTACAAACATCTTGTGGAAGGCTGCTGCAGAAAAAGCAGGAACCCTTACAGAGTGAGCCTGCCTATAGAAAGGCATCAAAGGGAGCACCTGTTCCCAGGACCTTAACTGATACATGGGTCTGGACAGGGAGCCATGCCAGTCTGTCTATCTAGAATTGAATTCTCTACTGCATAGACAGAACTGCACATTTTGCCTGCCTACCACAAAAGCAACAGCCTTGAATCTCCCCTTTTTTCTGTACAGTTAGATCCCTACGTATGTTGCCTTGAGTTCTGTAACAGGAAAGGGCAGGTTGCAAATGTAATAAATGGATATCATCTAGCAAGGGGAATCTACATAAATTAAGTAATATTGTATTTCACAGGGGAGGGAAAGGCTTTGTTCCCTTTTGTGTTCCAATTCAGGCTTTTTAATAATAATCTTGCCAGCTTTCTTTTGCAGGTCTCCTACAACTGGTCAGCTTTGCTAACAAGTCCCCTTGGTTGGTTGCGGTTAGGTGGCATATTGCCAGAAAGAGTGAATGCACTGCGCAATGTGGACTGGGATACCAAATGTTGGAGATTTCCTGCGCAAAGTACAACAAGCTGGAAGGGAAAATGGAGAAGTTTGATGATCAATACTGCAGCAGCATCCCCAAGCCAAGCTCAAGGGAGAAATGTTCATCAGAATGCCACACTGGTGGATGGCGCTATTCAGCTTGGACAGAAGTAAGACAAAGGTTTGCGGGATGAATACAGCTGGGCACAGTGGTGGAAAAAGGGAAACGTGTAAAAGAAGGCCAGTATGATAAGAGCTGTTTGCAGTCAGCACTGAAAGCTATTGAAGGTTTTTACATTATTTACAATATTTTCAGTCTGCCTTTCTCACTGAGACTCAAGGTGGATTACACAGTATAAGTCACAGTAGAAAAGAGCAAGAGTCCAGTAGCACCTTAAAGACTAACAAAATTCGTGGCAGGGTATGAGGTTTTGCGGATCATTGCTCACTTCTTCAGAGGTATAAGTTGATAAAGGCAGCAGAAGTCAACAAGGTCTATAGGATGAGACATCCAGTAAGCAATGCAATAGGATTAGGATTGCAAATGTCTGGAACAGAACTGAAACAAAGTGTGAGTATTAACATGTCATGTTAAACAATGTGGAAATTACATAGTAGGATCATCCATACAACAACAGACGGTATGTACTATACACAGTATAGTCTACAGTCCCTATCCCTTCATTAAAGCATCTTTCTGTATGATTTTTTGACAATATAGCCCTATTACATTTGTGAAAATAATTCAGTTTTGCATAGTTTGCAAACTGCCAGGAACGTAGGAGCCTTGTGGACCTCTTCAGGCAGGCCATTCCATAAGATGGCGGTTAGAGAATGCAAGGGTACAAGCAGTCATTATCTTTCTTCCTTGCAGGGTGCAGAAGCCCCTGCTCGGGTGAACAAAGCTATTGTGGTGGAGTATAGGGGGAGAGTCAGTCCCACAGCCTTTGTCTAACATTCAGAAAGGGGTAATCCATTAAAGCGACCAGGGCCATCTCTGTCCCGTAATGCAGCCTGAAACCAGACTGAGAAGGGTCCAGAACAGATGAGTTATCCAAGATCTGCTACTTCTCTCTCAATCACTTTACTCAGAAACGTCAGGTTAGAGTCTGGGTGATAACCAGGCACATCATTTTTCTGTGGGGATGTTGTTTTTTTTAAGTAGTGGGTTAAAACTAGACTCTAGTCCATAAAAGCTTATGCTACAGTAAAAAAGTTGTTAAAGTGCCACGTGTCTCTTCCATTTTAACTGGAACTATATTTCCCATTGGAACCTGTGGAAACAAACAAAAGATTAGAATAAAGAAGAGGAACAATTGTAATAACTGTAATAGAGAAAGCAGAAGTTTGAAAGAACAAACAGAACCAGATACAGTTTTGGTGTGCACCTGTAATATATTTCTCTTTTTGCCAGTTTGTGTGTAGCAGAGAAGTGGGCAGTTCTTCTCTTTACTAGCTCTTTTTTCCTTCCTAAAAGTGTTCAAAGAGCTGTGGAGGTGGCACAAAAAGGCGCCGAGCTGTCTGCATGAATACTTTCAACGATGTTCTGGAAGACAGCAAATGCAGTCAACAGGAGAAGGTGACGGTTCAGCGCTGCAACGAACTGCCGTGTCCACAGTGGAGAACTGGTGATTGGTCAGAAGTAAGGGACTTTGTACATTAAAATGATGAGCAGCACAGTAGATTTTTGATGGTGGTAAACTTGCAGTACAGTGGGTCACATGGAAACATCATGAGTAAAAGAACCATACTTAAAATGGTTTCTTCCTCTTTCCCCCTCTCCTTTCTTCATTACTAACAGATCTTCGTTCCTAACATCTTTCATTACTGAGGTGGGTTCTCTGGCACCATATGAGCAAGTTGCCATACTGCCGTGGGGATGGTTGTTATGCCAGCAGCCCACATGGCTGTGATACTGAATTCCTGAGACCCAAAATGTTAATCCTCAACTGTGAACCTTTTTCAGTGAATGTTACACTGATAAGCTACAGCACTTGGTAACAGCTGCTTCCAGGGGCCTAAGGTTTCTAATTTCTTTTTCCAGTGCTTGGTGACTTGTGGGAAAGGGCACAAACACCGACAAATTTGGTGCCAGTTTGGAGGCGAACATATAAGCGACCGGCTTTGCAATCCTGACACAAAACCAGATTCCATGCAGGCTTGTCAGCAACAGGAATGTGCCGCGTGGCAAGTGGGACCATGGGGCCAGGTATTTGGATTCATTTTTCTCTTCCTTTTTGCTGCTAGTGTGGTTAAGCCCAGTGAGCTTCAGCAAGGAGGGCTCAAACAGAAGTGTCAGTGGGAGTTCTATGAATTTCTCTAAAATTTGGGCATGGTTTTAAGTTGGAACCATGAGAGAAGGAGAAGTTTAAGCCATTTTCTCCTTGTGCTATTTTCTCAATTTAGAAAAGCTCTGGGTCTCTGTTTTTATCAGGAAAACTGCACCGGGAAAAGGCTTAAATCTCCCCTCCTTTTGTCCTGTGTAGGGGTGTGCAAAAAAAAATAATCGGGGTTTTTTTGGTTCAGTATATTGGACCCCAAAATTATCAGTATTTCTGATATTCCCAAATTCCAAAAACTGATATGGTATTTCGATTTGGGGGTTTTTTGGGGGGAGGGGGTTCCTAAATGTTTGGCTCCATTATTTCCTGTGGAGAAACTTTCTGAGTGGCTGGTGGGGTTGTTTTTAAAGGTACAGGGACCAAAATTTCAACTGAACAAGGTGCCCCCAGCCATTCTCCATTATTTCCTATGGAGGGGGAGAGAAAACACCCTGTCAGCTGCTTCCAGGGCAAAAAGCCATGCCTGCAAGTAGCAGTCACTGAGAACAAAAAGAAAATTCAATGGAACAATTGCAGAACTCAGTAATCCCAGCAGAACCACAAGCCAATGTGCCAAGTCAGACAGAACCAAAATCAAACCAGAGAATCACTTCAGTGGAAACTGAAAGGGGGGATTTTTGCAAGCCCAGAACAACCAGTTGCAATGTACAGCATGCCCAGGAGAACCAGTCCCACTGTGGCAGTATAAACCAAACAGGACTAATGTCAAACCAGAGAATCTCTGCAGTACAAACTGAAGGGGGGCATTTTTTGAAGCCCAGCAGAACCATTTGCAATATACAGAATGCCCAGCAGAACCCAGTGCCACTGTGGCAATGCAAGCTCAACAGGACTGATGTCAAAGCACAGAATCACAACAAATGCAAGCAAGCCGGGGGTGTGTGTGTGCAAGCCCTGTACAAAAACCAGAAGGGAAGGCAAAAGAACCCCAGCAAAGAAAAAGAAAAACCTCTTGGAACTGACAAGACACATTTGAAATCAACAAAAGCAGCAG